ACCGCATCGATCAAACAATAAGAAAGTGGAATACATCAATATTTCTGTCTTCGCCATTGTTTCGATGAAAATGTAGAGCACATAGAAAATAATACACACACATTTGTATAAACATATACATCGTATAGAGATATATACAAAACTAGCTGTAAGTGGAATTCTATCTTGAGGCAATTATGGCATCGTGCCTTAAGGCAAATTGCTGGAACTTCCCGCACCGTAACGAAATGTTCGAGGAATACTGAATGTTTTCAAATAGATTATTATAAATATTGTAACATTGTGTAATATTTATAAGAATTATATAAACCGAATTGCAGAGTTGAAATTATTTCTAAAGTATATTAGAACTATAGTCAGAATTAAAAATAAAATCTGAAATATTTTCGATATACAAATACTAAAAAAAAAAAAAAAAAAAAAAAAAATGGAACAAATTTTTTTTTCAAAATCATTATTTTGTTAAGACAAGCAGAAAGTTCTTTGAATCATTTAAATCGGACGCTTAGTTCTCTCAAAAACTGCCATTTTTTTACATATTTAGCTCCGTATCTTCGAAACGGCTGGGCCTGCCTTTGCCAAAAACTAATAAACACTTCTCCCAATCATTACTAATTGAATGTTTTTTAGATCATTCAAATCGGATACTCCGTTCGCTCAAAAATTCGATTTCTATTTCTGCACTCTTTGCTCCGTATCTCCGAAACGGCTGGACCTGCCTTTGCCAAAAACTAATCAGCTCTTTTCCCAATCAATAGGAATCGAATGTTTTTTGAACCATTCAAATCGGTTGATCCGTGCGCCCTAAAACGTGACTGGAAATTTGTATCCACACATACAAACACACACACACACACACACACACACATCCATTTTTTCTGAGGTATGCCAAAACGTTCAGAAACCTTCAAAACGTCGAGAAATGTAAAAATTTTCAATTCCGATTTTCGGCCCATTACAATAACTTACCCTACGGGAAGTTAATATATCGTTGTACAAAGTTTCATGAAAATCATCAACATTCAATTACAAAGGAACGGCCCGGCCGATCTTTACCAAAAACTAATCAACACGATTACTAACCAATAACTTTCGAACAGTTTTTATCTTCCCGTAGGGTAAGTTATTTGAATCGTCCAAAAATCGAAATTGAACATTTTTACATTTTTTCACGTTTTGAAGGTTTCTGAACATTTTGCCATACTTTAGAAAAAATTGATGTGTGTGCATGTGTATTAGAAATGGGCTTATCATATCCAAAGCTGGATCGGTTAGGATTTGACTCCGCTTCAGATAGGAGTTATATTCCCTTAATAATTCCACAACTCCGACAACTTTGAAACATAATACTTGACACAAATGTGTTCTCTAGTGTGTTGTTAACATATCTAAGGATTTATTGAAACTTTTATGCATTTCAATATCTTTTAATATGTTTATTTTTATACGAAAAAAATGCAGTGAACCTTATATATGAAATAAGAACAAATCTTTGAGTATAATATTTTTAACAAAATAATAATACCTCACATTTTTTTATTTCCTTTTCGAGAATTAATTATACATCAGGTAGTTTGATTAGCATACTATTACTTTTACACAATTATAAAATCATAATTGTGTAAAAGTTATAATACTAAATATTTTTTAGCTGATTGTATACCATTGAAAGATGGATGGAAAGAACAAACATTATCGTATACAGAATATAGAATACAAAATAGCATATATTTTGAGACATTATAATGTCTGGAAAGTCCTAAAACTGCCTGTGAGACTAGAAAAAAAACACTTCTTTCGACCCAAATCTTTGTATTAGTAAAAAATCTCAAGCAAATATCTGCACATGTTAACAGATTTAGTACCAGTTTAGGAAAGTCGGATATGACAAATCCTGTGAGACAACTCCACTCGTATTCACTCCGAGAGAAGACTTGTATCGGAGTGATAACTCCGGAGTGAGTTACCCATCTCTAATGTGTATGTATGTATGGATACAATTTTTTGTCCACGTTTTCGGGCGCACGGATCAACCGATTTGAATTGTTCGATCCCTATTGATAGGGAGATTTGCTGATTAGTTTTTGGCAAAGGCTGGTCCAGCCGTTTCGGAGATACGGAGCAAAGACTGCAGAAACTAGAAATCGAGTTTTTGAGAGAACGGAGCATCCGATTTGAATAATTTGTAAAACATTCGATTCGCAATGACGGGAAAAAGTGGTGATTAGTTTTTGGCGAAAGCAGGTCCAGCCGTTTCGGAGATACCGAGCTAAGGGTGCAAAAAATAGCAGTTTTTGAGAGAACTTAGTATCCGATTTGAATGATTCAAAAAACTTTCTGCTTGTGTTGACGAAATGATTGCTTTTGGGATTTTTTTATAATTTCCAAAAAAAAAATGTTTTTTGAATATCGAAAATAAATCGAATATGCTTAAAGGTATAAACTCACTAATATACTTCAAATAAATAATTTTAACTCCTTAATTCAGTTTATATGATTCTTATAAATATTAATGATAACGTCCTTTATTTTAAATTGGGCCGTAAGGGTAGAGTCTTAAAATTGGGCATTGCAAAGAATTCAATTTTTTTTGAAAAATTTCAAAATTTTCAAAAGTATCTAATTTTTCAAAGTTCTCAAAAAAAAATTGAGTTTTTCAAAAAAAAAAATCATTCTCGGTATCGGAAATTTCAGCAATTTTATTAAAATGGGTAGAAGCGTAAGGGTAGAGTCTTAAAATTTGTTATTCCGAAACAGAGCATTGCATAGAAGTCAAATTTTATGAAAAATTTCAAAATTTTCAAAAGTATCTAATTTTTTCAAAGTTCTCAAAAAAAAATTTGAGTTTTTCAAAAAAAATCATTTTTGGTACGGGAAGTTCAAGCAATTTTATTAAAATGGGTAGAAGCGTAAGGGTAAAAATTTGTTATTCCAAAACAGGGCATTGCTAAAAAGTCAATTTTTTGAAAAATTTCAAAATTTTCAAAAGTATCTAATTTTTTCAAAGTTTGCAAAAAAAATTAAGTTTTTCAAAAAAAAAAAATCATTCTCGGTACGGGAAATTCCAGCAATTTTATTAAAATGGGTAGAAGCGTAAGGGTAAAAATTTGTTATTCCAAAACAGGGCATTGCTAAGAAGTCAATTTTTTGAAAAATTTCAAAATTTTCAAAAGTATCTAATTTTTTCAAAGTTTGCAAAAAAAATTAAGTTTTTCAAAAAAATTCATTTTTGGTACGGGAAGTTCCAGCAATTTTATTAAAATAGGTAGAATCGTAAGGATAGGGTCTTGAAATTTGTTATTCCGAAACAGGGCATTGCAAAGAAGTCAAAATTTTTGAAAAATTTCAAAATTTTCAAAAGTATCTAATTTTTTCAAAGTTCTCAAAAAATTAGGTTTTTCAAAAAAAAACATTTTCGGTACGGGAAGTTCCAGCAATTTTATTAAAATGGGTAGAATCGTAAGGGTAGAGTCTTAAAATTTGTTATTCCGAAACAGAGCATTGCAAAGAGATCAAATTTTTTGAAAAATTTCAAAATTTTCAAAAGTATCTAATTTAAAAAGAAAAAAAATTGAGTTCAAAAAGATTCATTTTCGGTAGGGAAGTTCCAGCAATTTTATTAAAATGGGTAGAATCTTAAGGATAGGGACTTAAAATTTGTTATTCCGAAACAGGGCATTGCATAGAAGTCAAATTTTTTGGAAAAATTTCAAAATTTTCAAAAGTATCTAATTTTTTCAAAGTTCTCAAAAAAAATGTTGAGTTTTTCAAAAAAAAATCATTTTCGGAAGTTCCAGCAATTTTATTAACATGGGTAGAATCGTAAGGGTAGAGTCTTAAAATATGTTATTCCGAAACAGGGCATTGCAACATTTTGTTTAACTTCCCGTAGGGCAAGTTATAGTAATCGCAAAAAAATCGAAAATGAAAATTTTTATATATCTTTACGTTTCAGAGGTTTCTGAACATTTTGGCGTATGTATGTACGTGTGTGTATGTATGTGCGGATACAAATTTTCGTCGACGATTTCGGGAACACCGATTAACCGATCTGAATAATTCAAAAAACATTCGATTCGTATTGATAAGGAGACGTGCTGATTAGTTTTTGGCGAAGGCAGGTCTAGCCGTTCCGAAGATACGGGGCAAAAAGTGCCGAAAACGGTAACTCGGTTTTTAAGAGAACGGAGCGTCCGATTTGAAAAATTCAAAAAATATTTTACTTGTATTGACAAGATGTAGATTTGATCAAATTTTCATGAAGGCAGGTCTAGTGGTTTCGGAGATCTAATGAAAAAAGTAAAAAAAAATGCCATTCGGCGGTTAAAAATGATCATTAGACATATGCACATCAAATTATCAGATATTTTATAGAGATTTTAACAATAAGTATAATTTTTTTTTACATTTCTATGGGTTCCGTACCAATGCTTATGCGTTAGACGGCGGCGCGGCACTTGCGAGCTTTGACATTTCGTCTCTATGCAGTTCAAGTAGTGTGATTGCTTTGAAAAAAAGTTCAGAATTTCCAAAATATGTCAAAATGAAAAAAACATTTTTTTTCAAAAAATTTTATTGTTTTAAAAAAAAATTTTTTTTTCTCAAAAAAAATTTTTTTTTTCAAATAAAATTTTTTTTTTTTAAAAAAAGTATTTTTTTGTCAAATTTATAGTTTCTCAAAAATCTATTTTTTTCGAAGTAAATTTTTTTCAAAAATGTTATTCGTTTTTGAAAAAATAATAATTTTTGGTACGGGAAGTTCCAGCAATTTGCCTTAAGGCACGATGCCCTAATTGCCTTAAGACAGAATTCCACTTACAGCTAGTTATTTATTAACTCTTCTACTCAAACAATAAGTTAGCGAACCGTTTTCCCAGAGCGTTGGCGTCATACGGCAACACCAATGTTGTTTGTACACACAACACCGACACACCAGCACACCAACACCACTACACCGTGACTACACTACTGCACACCACTACAGAGCGCACACGCTATCCTTATCTATGGCTGCGGCTGGCAGCGCCTACGTTCGTCGGTTCGTTCGCTTCGGATTCGTTCTCAGCATCGGAAATTGAACGAATGACGTCCGAGAGTGAAGAGATGTGTTTTTGATGTGCTTGGTGGAGTGCAAATGGATTTGTTCTAAATGAGTTCAAATATTCATTTAACAGTGTTTGGAATTAATATATATGTTCAATGGAAAATTTCTAAGCTTTTATTTATTCATGGATAATGAAAATGTCGTGACAGATGCAAATTTTAATGGCGAAGCTAATGTCGTAGTCCACTTTTGTACCAAGATGGCTGTGACTACTACATTCCTTGCTTGTCCGTCAAATTCTTCAGTGAAGGACACAAGGAGTATTGTCGTCACCTTTAAATGCACAAGGTAGAATTGAAATCTTAAATTCTCATTTTGATTACTATTGAAGTAATATGATATTCAATATACATTATGTGCGCGTAACTATATTTATCGTTGTGTATGTATGCGGCGACCTCGTCAAGTCTACGTGTTGATTCGCAACAACGACGTAATTCGCGTCATTTTCATATGAAATGAGAAATTTATATTTTACGCTATATAATTTTGAGCATATGATAAAATATGTCAACCCATTTTCAATGTCTAAAAGCTGGCCTGGTATGTACACAATGTAAACATCAAAACCAGATCTCTATTTTCAATGAATACTATCAAAATCAAGTTGGTTCTGGTTTTTGTAAGTCGATCCTTTTCATCCTAATCAACGATGTTTTTATATTTCAATTATATATATATATATATATATATATATATATAATGTTAAATATGAACAACACAACACTCAGATTTTTAACACACACTTTATACTACACATTCTTTAATATTTTATTTAAATTATATTTAATTTTTGAAAATACAAAAAACACCAACTCTGTGAACCGACACAAATGTTTTAGACGACTCTTATCTTAAACATCAACAATAATTTATAATTTTTTTTCATTTATCTTATTCTCTCCAAAAAATTAACTTGTTGATAGTGCACTTCATTTGTTTACATTATAATAATACCCTCTCTTCATCTCGATACTTAAGATTTGTTTAAAATACTTCTGTATGTTTCACATGTTTTAGTAATGTGTAGTATATAAGTAACTGTTTTGAAATTATACTGAAGATGAGGCATACCATGGTCTCGAAACGTCTGTAATTACCAAATAAAGTGTGTGTTAAAAATCTGAGTGTTGTATTGTTCATATTTAACATTTAATATTAGTTCCACTCATATCACAAAATTTTATATATATATATATATATATATATGTATTTGATTAACTACTTTATCAAGTAAATATTTTTCTGCCATGTTTACACCTACAAATTCTATTTACAGATTTGGTAGTTAATTTTTATTGTAATCAATTAAGTGCAAGGCATAAGAAAGTGTAAATATACAATGAATTAAGGGCTATCTTTTGAAAAACTACTACCTGAATTAACATACAAAATTTTTATCAAGTTTCGACAGAGCATTTAATGAAAATGTGGTAAGTGCTTGATTATAATAATATCAGATGATTATGGTTATTACTTTTTAAAAATCTTTTGAATTATTGGTCTAACTATTTAAATTGCTTTTTGTTCATTGAACATGTATTTGATATTTTTAATTAAATCAATTTTTATCCACTATTTTAAGAAAAAATCTACCAGTTCTTTAATTGACAGTTTATTTGGTTATTATCAATGATTATTAAGAATTATTTGTAAACAAGCTCATATTAACAAATACATATTTTCATTCCCATTAGTGTCTAGGTTTTTTTAGTTTGCTTTTTTAGTTTCAATCCTATTTATTTTAAATATCCTATAGCAGCATCTATTCAATTTTTTTTATGTTTGCGACTGGTTTTCGTGTAATTTTTTTACCGTTGATTTTATACTTTATCTGTGTTGCCCAACACCTATGTTTTAATTTTTTCAAATATTATTATTAGATTATATATTATGCACATATAGCAGGGTTATAAATCATCAGATCTTTAATATGATCTCTCTATGGTTTCTGGGGTAATTATTACTCCACAGTTGCAAAACTTATAAAAAGTAGTACTGTATTCATCTGTATGTATGAAATATATAATCACTGCGCCATTTTCTTATATTAATTTGTTTTTATAGATACTGAGTATGTGCCTTGCAGATACGGAGTCCTGAAACATTTCTTTCTTTGTCTCCAGTTGCTTTATTTAGTTTTATTAAAATACTGCATACATAATAATCTAGTCATTAGTCACAGTAATTGGCAATTTTTTTGTGAAGTAGTTTATTATTGTACAAATTTTATTTGCTCAGTGCTAAAAAGTTCAATTAATGTAAGAATTGTGTTAATAAATATTAAGAAATCCATTGAAAACGTATATGTCTGAAATTAGTTCAGAAGGATATATACTAGTGAATTGATAAAAATAAATATACATCAACATGACATCGCACAGTAAACTTGCTCCGGGTGGGACTAATCCTCCGCCTCAAGGTAAGCTTCTATTTTCAATTATTTTTGAAATCTCGTTTTTTATGAAAATATTCGTGAACAGGTTCCTCAAGTGGAGCTGATGGTGATTACCAACTAGTTCAGCATGAAGTTTTATACTCCATGGCTAATCAATACGAGGTACTTGAATTTTTGGGTCGAGGAACTTTTGGGCAAGTTGTTAAGTGCTGGAAGAAAGGCACTAACGAAATAGTGGCAATCAAAATATTGAAGAACCATCCATCATACGCTCGCCAAGGCCAAATAGAAGTATGTTATTATATTATTTAGTACAATTTTGTTGATGTAGTTTATCTGATGCTAATGAATGCTTTTTTTTAAGTTGTGAGCAATAAACAAATGTTTGTTTAAAATTTGTTTATTGCTTTTTGTTTCGCATGAATGACCTAGATGATTCTGAATGCCCTTTAACAAGACAATGTAACAGCATAATGTTTTTAATGCATAGTTAATGTAATAATTGATTCATATTTCTCTTTTGATCATGAAAATTAATTGTTTCAGGTGTCAATATTATCACGTCTGAGTCAGGAAAATGCCGATGAGTTTAATTTTGTTCGTGCATTTGAATGTTTCCAACATAAAAATCATACATGTTTGGTTTTTGAGATGCTTGAGCAAAACTTGTATGATTTTTTAAAGCAGAACAAATTTTCGCCTCTGCCTTTGAAGTTTATAAGACCTATTCTTCAGCAAGTTCTCACTGCTATGCTCAAGCTTAAGGTAATTTTTTTGTGCATTAATTTTATTGATTATAAATGGTTGATAATATCTTCTTTAATGATTTAGCAATTGGGATTAATACATGCTGATTTGAAGCCTGAAAATATCATGTTAGTAGATCCTGTTAGGCAACCATATAGAGTGAAAGTAATAGATTTCGGCAGTGCATCACATGTCAGTAAAGCTGTGTGCAACACATACTTGCAATCTCGATATTATAGGTAAATTAATTTTTTTTTTTTGTTTTTAAAATTTGTTTATTCTATAATACTTAAATGATTTTTAGAGCTCCAGAGATAATTTTGGGTTTACCATTCTGCGAAGCTATCGATATGTGGTCACTGGGATGTGTTGTAGCCGAATTATTTTTGGGGTGGCCTCTATATCCAGGTTCTTCTGAATATGATCAAATCCGTAATATTAGTCAAACTCAAGGTAAATATTACTATTAAGTTATTATTAAAATATGCCATGTTTCTCTTTTTATACATACTTATTGTAGGATTACCAACTGAGCACATGCTAAACAATGCCTCTAAGACAACCAAGTTTTTCTATCGGGACATGGATAGTACTTATCCCTTCTGGAGGTTAAAAACTCCAGAAGAGTATGAGGCTGAAACTGGCATAAAATCAAAAGAAGCACGAAAATATATTTTCAACTGTTTAGATGATATTGGACAAGTTAATGTGCCTACTGACCTTGAGGGTGGACAATTACTGGCTGAGAAAGCAGACCGTCGAGAATTTGTTGATTTGCTTAAAAGAATGCTGACCATGGACCAGGTATTTTTTAATACATAAAAGTTTTGTTTAATTTGAGCTGATTGAGTGATGTAATTAAAAGTGATAAGTTTTCTTATTGCATTTGCACTTAACAAACTATATTGATAAATCAAGTTTTGTGCTGTATTTACTAAATTTTCAATTGACTATAATGCATTCAAGTAGAATCTGGTGAAATTTCAGGAACGCCGCATAACGCCTGGTGAAGCATTGAATCATGCCTTTGTAAATCTTGCTCATCTGGTGGACTATGCACATTGTAATAATGTTAAAGCTAGTGTTCAGATGATGGAAGTGTGTCGAAGAAACCCTGATTACAACATTAATGTCAATCACCACCAAGCTTCCCAACCAACCACATTGGTAACTAACTTTGTTCCAAATAGTAATGGCAATGTTACATTCACTATAAATAATCAACTTACGAATCAAGTACAAAGATTAGTTAGAGAGCGGCCATCTTATGACAACTTGGTATGTTCATTGTATTTAATGATTAATCTTAATCTTGATTATATTCCATGCGACAAATACACCTCTAATTTTAACTTTCTCTGAGTTTTACAACTTTTCTCACTTCACTATCTCAAACATGAAAATTCATTTTATCTTATCTCTTAATATTTTTTTTTCATATTTTCATAGTTATATAATCTAATATTATTCACTGTATTTTTTTGGTGTATTTGTCAGTGACATTGTAGTTGTAATTATTCAAGTTCCTCTCATCATCCTCACTGTTTGATATTTTACTCTGTTCACTTCTAGGATATATATCTCATTCTCGATTCCTCATGGGCCTTATTATAGTTATCCTATTTTTGTTCCTGTTTTCCTGTATTTTCCTGTTTTCCATCAATTTTCGTAATCCAGAAAATTCTTACACTTTTTAAGCATGAAAATTTTATTTTGGAGCCAGTTATGTTATAGGTGATGTTGTAGTTTCAATTATCTATTCCTTCCTTCATTCCTTTTATATTATATTGTAGTTTATTTAGTTATCCTATCACTGTCTTTGTTGTCTTGTGTTTTCCTGTCTTTTATGAAATTCAGAAAATTCTCTTACGCTTTTCAAGTATTATGATGCTTATGAGAATTTTTTTGCAGTACCAGTTATATGGCAGCCGGACTGTGGGTCGGCAGTATGCAGGTTCCTCCCGTACAGATCCTTTTCAACACCAACTTGTTTCTTCAATATTATGTCCACCTGGATATCAAGTTAGTAATACAAAATTATTATGTTTTTAAATATGTATTTATTTTTTCATTTTTATTTACCAAAAAAAACTGTATATGGGTCATTCTTTTACAAATCGTACGGATTTTCGAAAAAATAAAATGTCATATTTTAGAATGTTCATAAAAATTGAGCAAAAAATCCATATTTCAATCATAAATATTTACGTAAAAAAATTTTTTTAAGCAAAATCCTGAAACACGTGTCATATCATTTCATGTATATTATCTGTAAAAAAAATTTCAGACAATTCTAAAACATCAAGGTCTGGATGGTGTACGGTTTGTAAAAGAATGACCCATATGTTGAATTTGTTATGCTCATTAAATGTTGTCTTTGGGTTCATAATTATAAGAAATATCATCTGAAAATTTCTAGATATATATACTTACAGTATATGTTACATATTACATTTATTGTAGTTTTTCAATATTTTTACTTCATAAAATAAAATTTATTTATTTATTTCATATATTTTAATTTTAATATGATAATCACAAGAATTACATTCATTTGTATATAAGTTCTTAATACATTTTAATATTTTTTTACTCAAAAGTCCTGAGTATATTTATTTTCACTTGACTTATTATATACACAGGCAATGGGTTCTCCAGCTAAGCATGTGACTGTTGTTGGAACCCAAGGTGCAAGTGGTGCTCTGCAGATTCAACCTCCAATTCTTTCTGGGCAGGTAACTGGACAGCAATATGTTCCCGTATCCATGGTTGAGCCAAATGGTCGGCAAATGTTATTGACGGTAAAAATGCATTTCTGTACTTTTGAGGGGTTAGACCACCTTGGACCAACAATTTTTTCAAATTGAATAAATTGTACTAATTTACAAGTACTACAATCATAATAATGTTTTATAAGTTGAATTGTGCTTGAATAATGCAAATTCAATGTTTTCATTAATTATTTTGCTGATTCAACTTATTTTTTTTAAATTAACAAGGTGGTGTAAACCCTCAATAATTTTATTCAAATTATTGTAATTATATCCATTTTACACACAACCAAATCTTTGTCATTAAAACATATTATCGTATATCAATTGTTAGGCGTGATGAAAATTATGTAATTTGTGCTAAGTCTTTAAGACAATAATATTGCCGTGTAATGTGACATAGTAGAATTACTTGAAATGTTCAGTAGGTTTAGCTAAAATTATCTACTGGTAAAAGCCTACTTGGCTTTGTGAGAAGTAAAATATATGAATTATAAAATTTGGATATAGTCGTCCATACAATACTCAATTTCTGCTAGAATGCTGTTCAGTCCTCATGGCCTGGAAATAGGCAAATGGCCATTATTCCATCATGGCAGCAGATGACGGGTCATTCACATGGCCATTCTCAGCATACTATGGCTCCGCCTCTTATTCAAGAAGGTGTGGCTGTTAGTGATTGGGGTCGACCCTTACTGGTAGATTCGGCAGCTATTTTGCAGGTCAATAATAGTCACCTAGTTTTATAGGGTTGATTGGAGAACTCACTGTTCATTAAAGGACTTTTTGTAAATACAGGCTTTGTAAAAATGTTAGCATGCACTCTCATCACATTTTTGTGGTCGTGTAACATCTTAATGCTCTGTAATGAATTTTTTTGTCAAAACTTAATTTTACATACGTTTCTAGCTTGTGCATCCTGTTGTAGTTTTTTTTTTTTTTTTTGCAATTAAGCCTTTTTGTGTGCAAATTACAAGCAAGTTGTGTGGAAAAAAGTTATGCGTAATATGTAATAATTAAAATAATGCACTATAAAATGAAATATTACTATATATGATCTTCATTAATTTTTCATACCTATATTGTTTTATAGAGCATGGGAATTGATTTAAATTGGGGCATAACAATATACTTGGATAATCTTTTTATATTTATTAATGCAAGTTTCTTACAATTTATTGTAAATAATTGAGGTTAGATGTTACACATCATATGCAGATACCATACAATTTGTTTCTTTTTCTAGGTGTTATTGGTTTCTAATTATACATCTAGTACTACTGATAACGCATATTATACTACAGTTTGTGTGCATTTCAACTTTTTAATTTTTGTACAGCTTTAATAACTATATCACCTCCTCAATCTTAGTGTTTCTTCCACATTTTGTGCTAATTTTTCTTTTTTCTTTCACTAAGAGCTACTAAATAATACATTTTTTATATTGGAATACTTTTTGTAAATACAAATTTGTTAATCTTCTGCAACATCAAACATAAGAGACAAAATTTAAACATTCAAACATGTTCTATTCAAAAATGCATTTCTTAACTCTACTATTTGGTGTTTTTGCATAATATTGAAGTTTGACTAAATTTCAGTATTACGTAAATAAAAATAGTGATGTAATATTAATAACCAATGCTTATTAGTGAAGAAATGTCAACTGTTTATCATTTCAGCACGATCAATATTATTCTTCACTTCATTGCTTTATTAATAATATTTTGATACATTCCAGTGATACTATCTTAACTGCATGTTGATATAAGCTGCAACCATTGTTACTAAAAATGTTTTCTTTTTCATTTGTTTACATAATTTTCTATAACATTAAGATTTTTTTCAGTCACATCATTCGGTGAGAGCTTCAGTCTTCATAAACTGGGGTTGGCTTCTATCTTAACTTTTAAATTTGTCTAAAAACACTAACATATTATTTTCACTGTCAGGACATTTACATAACTTTAATGTACTATATGTATGTATGTTTGTAACTCTGTGTGTTGTTTACATGTGGATTGTATGTATGTGTTACTTACCAATATTCACATATATCATATGAAATGTACTTGCAACCTTATATCTAGTAACTAAAAAAAAATTACAATAACTATTTAACATATTTATAAGGTTCTTGTAATTTTTGTTAGTCATAAACTTGATCTGGGGTTGCTTGCTAAATTTAGAAATTATTGTGACAACTTTCAATTAAACAAATTTTTATTAAACACATCATGGTACATATAGGATCAAAGACCAGTGTTTGGCGTCGATGTTAGTGGTGATGTGTACAGTGGGTCGCTTATTGATCATGGGACTTGGACAACAAAGAGAAATTCCAAAGCAAGTCATTCTCATTTAACAGTTCCTTCTTCACATCATAGACATGTATGTTTTAACATAATTGCTATTAATATATTTAACTTTTATGCTTTCAAATGTAATCAAATAGGTTTAGTTTAATCAATCATTTTTCTAATTGCACAAGCAAAACATAATGAGGCATTGCAAAAGTCTTTTATATTTCTTGCAATGATGTATTGTACTGAACTTTTTAAACCATTTAATTTTTATTTAACAATTATTCAGTTTTAGTTTTTTTTAAATAAAATTTTTATTTGTATAGAACCACAAGAAAGAACCAACGCAGCTCAGCCCAGTTAAAAAACGTGTTAAAGAGGGTACTCCGCCTTCTGAATCACAGATGTATAGTAACAGTAGAGGAAGACGAGCTTCTCCAAATAATTGGCAGCACAGGTATATATTCTATTTAATAATTTTAATCAAATTTTACAATACTATTTTAAAACTATGTTTTCAGTGATACTATTGACCACTCGATATCCAAGGTTATTACACCAGTCATTGGGCGCCAACATACCATAACTATCCATGATACTCCCTCGCCAGCTGTAAGTATTTTAATTAGTTTTATTTAAAATGTATATCATCTTTTTTTTTAAATGATTTGGTATATTATCAGAATTGTCAGATCTTTTTATTTATTACAAAAAATTATGTAGTTCTGATAACTACTATATCAGATATACAAAATTTTGATATCCTAATTAATAGATCTTTTACCTTTTAAGCAGGTAATAACTATATCAGATAGTGAGGACGAAGCTCCGAATAAAACTGTGTCTCAACCTCCTGTGAACAACAGGCAGCAAAATAGAACTGTTGAACATGGAGCAGGCCATGTTAATGTCATGAATGGAACGATTTCTCACAATGTTACGAGTCAACAGAACAACATTAATGCAATAACATCTAATGGGAACAATAATATTACTTCTAGTAATATTTTGAATACTTCTACGGTGGCTGCTGTACATACACACCAAAATGCTTCTACCCAATACATCAGCAATCCTAATATAACATTACCTCAGAATGGTGGTTCTTTAAGGCAAAGGAAAAATAATATTGCTTTTGTGAATGTAGCAGATTCTGACAGTGAAGACTATAGAAGTCCGGCTAAACAAAACGCATATCAGGCTCAGGTATTACAAAATGTTATATATATATAATTATGTATATATATATATAATTATGTATATATATATATATATATATATATATATATATGTATATATATATATATATATATATATATATATATATGTATATATATATAATTATACTAATGTAATTATGCATTTTTAATAGTCTATCAAACATGAGCCATTCCATCATTCTCAAAAGAAACGACTACTTGCATTAGCTCAATCAGAATGCATGCTGAATGGTAATAATCAAAATGTGCATAGTGGCCACAACATTTCTACAAAGCAGGAGCCTGGTGTTGTTACAGCGAATGATTGTCAACAATCTGTAAGTTTATCATCTGTATTTATATTGTTTATATTTATTAATGTATTGTGTATTAAATTTTCGTAATTAAAAGAATCCCCATAAATTATAACAAATTTAAATAAAGCATGCATACAATTTTTAAGCCCTTTAATTAGTATTATCCTAAATAGAGGACATAATTTGTTGCAAAAATTTGGTTTTCAAAAAGTGCTATTTGTCATTCGTCACATGGTTATCTTTAATATTGACAAAAAAAATTGTATTTGTATTATATTTGGTGAAGGAGTATTGTATACAGAACTATGTTTCTTTAGAACTGTTCACAAGATTTCTTTGGAACTGTTATGCAGCCTTGCACCTCTAAAGATTATGTCCAACCCCAATATAATTATGATACTCATTGTACAATTGATAAGCGAGGGTCATGGGCTCCTCCGGCGCATTCTCAGTCCAATCACAGAAGAGAAGTATGTGAAGATACGTATTGTATCTTAATTTATTAGATTTTAATAATCTAAGCAGGCTTTGAGTGTATGTTTAAAATGTTTAATTTTGATTTCGAACACAATATGCGGTAATGTAACTGAGTTAACATGCTAAGTAAAAAATGAGAAACTGAGTAAAAATTTTTAAGTCTAAGGCTCTGCTTTTCATTAATATTTGCTAAAAGAAGCAAATATTCTGCATGTGTAGTAAACAGAAAATATATTTCAAACCCGTTATTATACATTATACATATTTCAATCAAAATGATACTTTACAACAAAAATATTTCAGTCAAACAGGGAATATAAAATTCAACTGAAGGAATATACACAGCCTCCACAAGCGCATACCAGAGAAGTACCCAGAGAACCTCACAAAGCATGGGTTGGCACACACTCCCAGCATATCCCAAGTTACAGGTGAATTAATTATATTTTTATATAGAGGTGCAAATTTATGCATATATTTTTGTGTAATCTACTAAAATACTATTAATATTTTAAGCAAGCCTATATCCGAAATGCTATTGTAGTTTATCTTGTTTGATTATTGTTTTTTTTTTTAAGCAGACATGGATCTCACATTTCTCCCGGTCCAGTTTGTGCGACACGAGTTTCTCCCAGTCATCCTCTATCAGCTGCAGGACAACCCCTTTATCAAGCGGACCTCTATAGAAGGCCCGCTGTATATGTTACCACAACTCAGCCGACATACATACCTGCCAATCCTGTTCAACAATATGCCGGGTACCTATATTATTGATCATTTTTCTTTTAAATAATTTTTAAAGACCTATTGAAAAAAATGTATAAAATTTGCATCCATAAGAGAATTTTCTATGATAAACTGAAAAACATGCTAAAACAATATATAAATATTGTTATAAGTTTTTTTTTTGTGTTTATTTTCTAACAAGATTGTGGGAAATTCTTGAGAAAAATGATCTTATTGAATAAACTTTAGTTAATTATTACCTCGTTTATTTGAACAGAATGGAGTACACTTTCCCTGATGGTAGAGCTCTACCACCTCCAGCTCATCATGGCAGCCGACCAGCAGCTGTTTTATCTGCCCATCATCTACCTACGCATCCATTGCCTGCCCATATGCAATTTCCTTCTCATCAATATGGATTCGGAGTTGCTCCACTGAGTCCAGCTAAGCAATACCAATCAAGCCTGTGGTTTGCAGAGTAACCAACTATAAATACGTATGTTATTTAAAGAGTAATAGTATACTGCTTTTATTTCACAATATCAGGGAAAAATTGGACTTTACTGTACTTTATTCTAACTATTCATATGTATCATTGATAAATGCAAGTTTTTGTATTGCATATTATATATTGTGTGTGCGTATATGCAATACTTGTGTGTATAGTTATATGTATGTACATACTGTAATATTATGTAATTTTTATACATATTTTCATATATTACTTCATATGTATGCTACAAATAAGGACAGTTCAAATTTATAAGGTAAACTATGGATGTTTACAAAAGTAATATTTATTAATGTCTATGAATGAGTAGGCAAGACAAGACATGCATTTGTTTTTTAATAGCAAGCTGATAGAGAATTAAATCTTGCATTAATTGTGCATATTAATTACATAACTATATATGTGTGTATATCTATATATATTTATATTACATATTTATACATGTATGTGTATGCATATGTATGTATGTATATGCTATGCACAATTAACAAGTTAGCAAATTTTCTAAACTAAACTTATAACATTGTGTCTTACAGAACTATTTGTTCAGGAATATGTGTACTTGAATATTCTTATTTTCACGTCTTTTGTTATATTTATGGTATGACATAAATGTTAGAATATACCACATTGCAATAATTTATTGATTTTGACAATTTTAATGATCTAGCATTGTTGATATTATCAGATGCTTGATATCATCAGATAATTTTGTTTCACAAGGAATTGTGAAGAGTATGTCATATTTTATAATATAGCAAGTGTTCATAAGTATACAAAAACAATCATATTTAGATCAGATCTTTAATTTTTAAAATATGCTTTAAAATATATATTCATTAATGTACCATTATTTTTGAATACTAGATTTATATAATACTAGGGGCCTTGATTATTTGTCTTTGACAATATTAAATTGTATATAAATTAATTTATTTATTATTTATCTCATTTAATGCAATAAAAGTTAGTGGTGTTAATGTCAGTGTAATGAAATGTTTTAATATGTGCATATGTCTGCTGTGAGCTATCAGTTACCGTTAGATAATTAACTAACTGTAGCAGGAATTTCTGGGTAATAATATTTTTCAACTTAGAATTGTACAAATTAAATTGTAGTATATTTACTAATTGTATTATATATGTTTGTATTAGAAGAAGGTGATCATTACTTAGGGCCTCTTGCTTTTTGTGTAATAGATTTTGTAAATTGTTAATCCTAAATATATTTTTGTATTTTGTTATATAATTGTGCAAATTGACATGCTTTCAAGGTAAACATTGTCAAAGTGGAAACGTTTTGATAGTGAATACATATAACTTTTTAATTTACAAAATTAATTATAGTTGTAAATATGTAAATAATTTTAGAGACTTTAAGAATAAGACTTCTATTGATATTCTGTTCCTCCATCTTCTCAAATATTTAATATTTAAATATTTTTATTGTTACATAACAGCTTTTAAATTAAAATAATTTAAACAATGATTAAAGGTAGTTCAAATTATTTTTAATTCTTGGTAGGGTTTTCGCATAAATTAATTTCTATATACATGCATACATACACAGATTGCTGCTTACATTAATAAATCTTTTTGGTCATGCATTTTTTATATTACATACTTTTTTTAAAAAAGGTTATGCATTTCGATTTTTTTTTATTTGAACACATTTTGCAACATTGTTTGGATGTATAGTAATTCATTAATTTAAATAAATATATAATTTAAGTTATAGTTTCTGTTTAATGTATGTATGCTGATAGATATTTATTAACTAATATTATAAAATATGCATTTTATAATGAATTTATCAATATAAACGACACCAGTTTCTTTTTTAAGTTCATAATGAAAATGTATATTTTTATTTCTGATGTTTTGCCACCCTTAAAGTCACTTCAAGTACCTATCTTTGCTATACACGTTTGATTTTAGTGACAAATATTGTTTTATAAATGTGTTCAAACATATCACAAGAATAATCATTAACATTATAGCTTTTCAAATGCAATTTGTGTTATATTACATTGAGGTAATTGTAGTACTTACGGTGTTTTTGAACAATTAAACTATGTAATTCAATGCAAATAGGCTGAGTATCATATATTCCCACATTATTATTACATATTCATTGAAAAATTAAATAACTTCATCATCGATTTGATGAAATATATATTGTTTTGAAATTGAATGTTGCTGTAATAGAGACTAAATGTGAGCTTAAAATAAATAATTGGTCAACATTACCATGTGAATTTAATATAAATGTATTTATAAGAAACTTTTAAAAAATATTTAATAGTTAAAGCCAAATGAGACTTACAGATTTAGAATTTTATACTTGTGCTATTGTTATAGTTCAATGCTATTTTTATATTACATATAAATAAGTAATACTAATATATTTTGTATGTATGCGGTAAAAAAAATTATTATGTCAGACAAATTGATATCGATCTGTGTTGTAACCCATTTGTGGTTCTGATGTTTCAATATTTGAATATTTCATACTTTTTTTCAACATATGGTTAGAACAAAGTTTTAAGTTTTCAATGGACTTTATTTTGTGATTTACCATGTATATTAAATCAAATAGCAATACTATTTTGTGACCACATAATTGTTGTATACTTTTTTCATTCAATATATCAAATAGCTATACTTGCATACATACAAAATATATGCATACATTTTAGCATGTATGCTTTAAGTATAATGAATTGGTAATATTTCTAATATTCGATGTACTAGGTTGTAGTAGAAGTACATGTTACTAATCATGCATCTTTTATATAGATTTTATTAAAAATGATATAGAGTATCCATATTTTATAACAATGGTCACTGATTTTTTATTTCATAACTAAATATAACATTTTTTATTTTTGAGAATTTGCTCAATGTTTTCAAATTAGATGTTTGATGTTTTCTAATTTAACTTATACAATATATGGTATTCATGGGTGATATTTTATTTTACAATTGATTGTTTGAAATCTTTAAGCTATATTAAGAAAATTAACAATTTAAGTCAATAAGATAATTTAGAATTAATGTGCTTTAAAAGAATTGGGGAATTTTAGGATGATTTGTTCGAATTGTTGTGTACTTTTGGAATATATATGTATATATGTGTATATGTATATATATATATATATATATATATATATATATATATATGTATACTTTTCCCATACTTAAATAATATCATCAATTTAAGTTTGAAAGCATAAATATGATTCACATTGAATGCCCCAAATTGATATGCAAGGCAAGGTATTAAATATATTTAACTTGTCACGAAGATGGAAAATCATCCAGCAACCTTTTCTCTAGGGTATTCAACTACGCATGGAATCAATTAATAAATAAATTTTAAAGTTTAGATTTCTTAAACAAATTTATTCTATATCACTTAGTAATTTCTATATGAAATTAAACTAGGAGTTCATATTTGAAGTATTAAATCACTGTTTTTGTATGGAAACTAAAAAAAATTATATATCCATGTTTCTTATTACAAACTTAAGTAATTTATGTAGTTGAAATTGCATATATTCAATCTGTTATTATATGATATATATTTTAATAAATATTTATTATAGAAGTTGTAGAATAATATTCTGTTGATATAGGAAAATATAATTTTTCCTATATAACATTGGTGTTCTGGTTGAATTGATTTTTTGGGCTTTTGTATGTATTTACCTTCACTTTACAAAAGGTATGGGTTTGTAATGTAAATTTTACCTTTGTAGTATTTAATTATGTACAATTAAAATTAGTGATTAGTTCTCTTAAGAAACCCAATTTTGTCAAAATATTTTTAGTAACATGAGCATGTTTTTCATTTTGAATTATACATTAGATTCAGTTGTGTCAATTATTTTAAAAAATATATCTTGTGATCATTAAAATTATAGTGGCAATTTTATTTCAAATGTACTATAGATATATAATATATTAAAACATTTCAATTTTCTGAACTAAAAGCCTCTCATCCTTTATTTAATTTTATTTTACGTTTACAAAAAAAAATTTTTGAGAGTATTCGAAAAATTCGACTTCACAGGAATACTCTCAAAATGTTTTTCCAAGTGTTTTGTAACAAAAAAATTAGTGATATGGATATATAGATCAATATTGCAGAAGAAACCTGATGATGGAACGTATTAGTTCCGAAACGTCGTAATTGAACATATAACAAAAAAAAAAAACAAATTGTTTTTTATTTATTGGATTTATTGTTCGAAAAAGAAACATATATCAATTTATTAAAAAAAATCCAGAACTTGTCTTCGAAATATATATATATATATATATATATATATATATATATATGTGTGTGGTCCACTTTTCTAAATATGTGGATGCGTTTCATGGCAGTGGATTATGGACACCAGACACGATTAAAAATATTTATTAAAGTTGTAGTTAATTATTAAAAATATATTAATATTTTTCCAGGCCATAATTTCCATTCAAGTACAACTTTTGAAAAATTCAAATATATTTTGACCTCGAATTTGGATTCTTCGACATTCTATGAAACGTTTTCTTGACCGTGACCACTTCGTGACATCTATATCTATATACATAAATTGTTTTGTCATGTTTAAGTTTCAGTTCAGTTTTCAATTTTAAATGTTTATTTCGTTCACATGAACTTATGAAAATTAAAATTAAATTCTTTTCGTGAATCAAGTTTTCCCAGAGCATGTTACAATTGATAGGTACTGTGAATGATTATTCTTTTTTTTCGCATATAACCTCATTTCGAATGAAAATTTTATTGCTATGACAGAGTGGTGATATTGTATTATTTTTTTGCTATTCAAGGATAAAGGAAATAGTTTTGCTAAACTGAACAACACGCAATTTACAACGATGTCTTTATCGCCGACTGATTTTCCATCTGCTGCCAGTCCTATGACGAATTGTTCATTGACTTCAAATGCCCCAAAATACGGCACCTTGGTCCCCAACCGAGTTTTCGTGGGGGGTATAGCGAGCAACACTTCTGAGGAGGAATTAGCCAGATTATTTTCAAGTTATGGAAATGTTAAGTCCACTAAAATAATATCTGATAGAGCAGGTGTTTCTAAGGGTTACGGATTTGTCACTTTCGAGCAAGAGAATGAGGCCAAAAAAGTCTTGAAAGAGGTAAATAGATTAATTGTAGTCAATTGTATTGTAGTTTTGTGTGCTCAAGAAATTGTTAAATTGAAGCCACTAGTATTTTGAACCCAATGATCTTTAATAATACATATAGTGATACTACATTCAAGAGTTCCATTTCAATTTAATACTTAAGGAACATTGTCTGTGATTTTTGTATTATTTTTTCTGTACAGAAATTGATGGTATCAAAGCCGAATCAAATTCAGATTTTTTTTGTTTTATTATTTTTATTTGAATTTTAATATAAATTTTATACATCTCAGACAGACAGAAGTGCCTGGTATGAGAGATCTATACAAAAATATCTATACAAAGTATATATATAAATTTTCTACATATGATATGGGGATTACAACATGTTATAATTCAATCATACGTATACTCATTTTTACATTTATGCTTTGGTATAATTTATTTATCTACATTTTTTTATAATATTCTTTTAACTTAATTTTAAATTGTTCTCTTCTTTGGTCATCTTTATTTCTTTCGGAAGCCCATTGAATAATTTTATAGCACTCCATATAGTGTTCTGCCTGGTTTTATTTGTTTTTATTTGTTTTAGATGATAATTTTCCTGTTGTCTATTGTCATGTATTTCCTTATTTATAGTTATCGATGTGCATGTTTTGATTTTGTTATATTCAATCTTATGTATTAATTTGCATTTTTCTATTTTTATAATTTTATTTAATGGTAGGTTATCTGTTACATATTGAACTTCTTTAGTAGGTGTGAAATAGGAGAGATTATAGGTTATTTTTGTTACATTCTTTATTAATCTCTAATGCTTTTTATATATTTTTTTGTAGTTTGACTCCATGTTGCAATTCCATACATAGTTATAGGCATTATGTGCGCTTTCAGTATTAAAATCTTGTGTTAAGTTCCAAAGTAGTGTATTCTGTTTAGTGCTCCTGTTAGTGCGACAACCTTTTATTTCATTTTTTTTATGTGGTCTGTCCAAGTTAATTTTTGATTGATTACGAGTCCTAGATATTTTATATAGTTCACCTCTTCAATTTCAGTTTTGTTAACTTTAAGCTTTAATTTATTTTTTCTTTACTTCTATTTGGTTTAAAATATATGTATTTTGTTTTTTCTGTATTAATGGTTAATTTGTTCTTAATTAGCCAATTTGAGTATGTCTTTATGTCTTTATTTATATTTTGCTCCAGCTTATATTGGCCTTGTCTGCATATAATATCGCTGTATCGTCTGCGTATAGTATATATCCTCTCTTTAAGTTTGCATCTTTCAAGTTGGTTGTATACACAAGGTATAACAAGGGCCCAGGACTGAACCTTGTGCTACTACACATGTTAATTTGCATATTTCACTTGTGCAATTTGCAATCTTTGTCCTTGTTAGAAAATCTTTTAGAATGCTGAGAAGAATGCCTTCCACTCCTAGTTCTAAAAGTTTAATTTTTATTGAAAACTGAGCCAATAGTTTGAATATCTAAATTTTTATTTTTATTTATTTCACTACCTTCATTTATTATTATTATTATTCATTTTCAGGGTGAAAGTATATTCCTGAAAGATCGAAAATTAAATGTTGCCCCAGCAATTAAGAAGCAGGTACCATTGCATATTAAAGTAGCAAAATTTGTTTTATATCTTTATTCATTCTTTATGTGTAATTCATAGCCATTTAATCGTTCGTTTGAGGAACCTGTACCTGCTGTAAATGCTACATCAGGAACTTTATATTACAACTCTGGTATGGTGCCAGCTGGATATAATTTCCAAGGTGGTGTTTTATATTACAATACAACTATGAATACTCCTGAGCCACCGATGTATCCATGTAAGTAGAAAGAAATACTCATGACAGGGTCTTGCACAAAACACTTATACGTATGTATATCATTGCAGCGATCACCCCATATAATCCATCAATTCCTGCATCACCGTATCAAATGTTATATCAATGCGCACCTCCTGTCTATGTGCATCCGAATTATATTCAGCAACCTTACCAGCCATTGCAAGTAGGAGTCAATAATGTATATTACAAGTGATTGTGATCTGGTGTGAGTATTAATTTTCATAATACATATTCTTTGAAAACATTACAATTAATTTAAATTCATGAATTAAATGCATTTAACATGCACTGGTACTACATAAACCACATGAAAAGGACTACATACCAATTACTTTGATATTTATTCTTTATAGCTTTGAAAATGTAAAAATAAGCAGTTTGCATAAATGATTGATGATTTTGTGATACGTAATAATTGAGAACAATCTGTTTTTTCTTTACATATTCACACTAATTAAGCATGTCCGGTTTTTCCATTGTTCAATTTAAAATTTATTTAAGCAATGAAAATTGTAGGTTGTGAATATGTTAGATAGGATGACTAGTATTTCTATTTTCAAATGTGGTATGGCATTTATTTTAAAGGAGTTTGACTGATGTTTTATAATTTTTGTTTCTAAATTCTGACGAGCAAGTTGAATTGTAAATCACTCGTTGAACAGACTTCATAAAATAGAGAATGTTTAATAAAATTTATTTGATCAAAAATTTACTTCTATTGTGCTTGAAAATAGAAATAATCAAATATAAATTATTGTATAGTATTTATTGATTCTTCATAATATTTGCTGGACAATGAAATGGAAGGAAAGAGATATATATTATAATTAATATAAATTATAAATATAATATAAATTAAAATCTACTTAAATAGCTGAAATGTCAAATTTTGATTTGGCAATTTAATTTAAAACTTACGTAACTCGTAATCAGATACAAAGAATTATAGACTAATTTATAACACTGCCCATCATATCTGAATCAACATATTAGAAATTTGCTGCTGTATATTTTAATTTATCTAAAAATGTAATAGCTATCTATGGTTTGCTTAGAAAAGCTGCAAAAGTTTGTAATGAATAATTACAAATTTTTATAATCAATACTATAAATTAGTTAGGATTTAAATAGATAAGTTATTGTTATTAATTTATTAAAGTTATTTATTTTTATCTGCCTACCAGATAATATTTAGGAATTAAGAACTATTCTTAGACAATTTATGAAAAATGTGATTCATATATCAAGTTTATTCATGGTTGTAGATTTTTAATTCACAGTGAAATATGTGCACCTGTTAAATATGCATATTTAATTAATAAATTGATGTAATTATGAAACTTCAAAAAATGTGCTAGCTATATTTGTGTCAAATTATGTACTAGATGCAAGCATATTGTGATTGTAAAATACTATGGCAATAATATGTATTCAAGTAACTTAAATGTAAATAAGTTTAAATAATTTTTAGTTAGCTAACTAATATACAATAATTTATAGTTAACTAACTTTAATAGTCATTAAAAATCAGTGAATGGATTATGAACTTTAGCAATAGTTGTGTATATTTCTGATTATATGTAAATAAATGTAATATATAGTGGAATAATATAAGTACGTGTAATAGATCATATATTAAATTGAGTGTTGCACCTCAGGTGTGAACATTTTATGGTCTTTACATGGCTTCCTCTTATATTTTGCCTAAATAATTTCTCTTGACAAAGGCTGAGTTAGGAAATCAAACGCTCTTGTTCGAATATTCTTATCATAGAAGTTGTGCAAAGATCAAAAAACTTTCATGTCGTGAGGGCATAAATTATTTGTTAAACAATTCAAGATTATTTTATGTTATTTGAGTATATTGCTTAAATAATTTGTTACAAGAAATATATTGTTAACGTTAATGGTTGTTTCAATATTCTATTTTAGGTGTGAATGTGAATGGTCCAATATGGGATTATATGATTATATAGGGTTGTCAAATATCTCCCTTCCGCTTTTTTGCTCTTTATTCAATGCTTTATAAAAAGTGTTACAGTAATCGGATTTAGTTCAAATATGCGCCGTTTTGTTCGATAATCTGTTTCCATCTAGACGGCAACTTCATAATACCTCCCTCGTAGAAGCCCCCCTCCTTATTTGCGAAGAACTCGGACAGCCACTTTTCACAAGCCTCTTCTGAGTTCAACTTTACACCACCAAGGGCATTCGCCATGGACAGGAACAGGTGGTAATCACTTGGCGCTATGTCCGGGCTATATGGTGGATGCGATAAAACCTCCCATCCGAGCTCCCGTAGCTTCTGACGAGTCATCAACGAAGTGTGTGATCTGGCGTTGTCCTGGTGGAACACTATACCCCTCCTGTTGGCCAATTCTGGACGCTTCTGGTCGATCGCCTGCTTCAAGCGGTCCAGTTGTTCGCAGTAGATGGTAGAATTAAGCGTCTGGCCATATGGGAGCAGCTCATAGTGGATGATTCCCTTCCAATCCCACCAAACACACAGCAAAACCTTCCTGGCCGTCAATCCCGGCTTGGCCACTGTTTGGGACGATTCACCGGCCTTGATATTGTCGTATGTGATCCATTTTTCGTCGCCAATCACCATCCGCTTCAAGAATGGGTCGAGTTCGTTCCGTTTCAGCAGCATATCGCAGGCGTTGATTCGGTCCAGAAGGTTTTCTTGCGTCAAATCAAGCGGGACCCAAACATCAAGCTTTTTTTTGTATCCAGCCTTCTGCAGATGGTTTAAAATGGTTTGGTGACTAACTCCCATCTCCTGGGCGATGTCACGAGATGCCACATGCCGGTCTAACTCGATGGATTTCATGATTTGATCGGTATTTGTCGTCACAGGTCTTCCGCCGGCTGGCTTATCCATAGTGTCGTTTTCACCGGCTCTGAATCGTCGATACCATTCCTCCGCGGTTCGAAGTGATAGAGTACCATCCCCCAAAACACCATTAATCTCACGGAACGTTCCTCTAGCGGATATGCCTTTAACGAAGGAAAACTTTAAAATAGCGCGAATTTCGGCGTTAGTGAACTCCATGTTTACACGTCTATAACTGTTGAACGCAATATCCAAACTAATCATGCATAGCGTCGTTTTGTAGGTTATGTCAAGACCTTTCAAATTATGTATAGTATTGCCAGATACGAGCTCTGTAGCGCTTTGTACATAGCCGCGAAATTCAAAAGACAAAAAGGCGGAAGGGAGATATTTGACAACCTTATATTACATACAAGAATTATTATTACAAATATACATCAAAAGAATAGATTTGAAGTGCCAGTGGATATCAAGTCATATGTAAGAATTTATTGTATATTGCTTCTGTGGTGTAATAACTGTTGTATAAACATGATGTTTTTAAATTTTTATTATTTTACTGTGTTAATTGTGGTTACAGTGTGCAGTTTATAGTTCAAGTATTGTTTTTGAGTGACCTTTTCTTAAAAAGTAAGTACACAAAGTGAAATAGTATAAAATAATTTATTTGTACATATAACACAACAATTGTACAGTCATGATGAGAATGAGTATGCTCTGAGAATATTTACAGATCATTTACTAAATAAAAAATTGGTTAACTTATATATACATATTTTTACACTAGACAAATATCATTAATTATCACAACAATATTGGCTTCAGATCATCAGGCAAGGAGCATGCCATATCATCAATTCTTTGCAATAATTTCTGTTTTGTTGAAGATTTAACTGACTTTGAATATTCTTCTACTCTAGCCAGCTTTTGCTTTATATTTAATATCATGTCAACAATTTCAACTTCTTGCTTTCCTTTGACCCATTGCTTCACATCCTATATCGGAAGGAATAAAAATGAATAACACTATATTGATTATTATCACAAAAACGTATTAAAATTATTACTGCATCTGCTAGAGCCTCCAATTGAAGTGCTTGTAATTTTTGTGTGAGATTTGTATAGCGCTCGTTAAACCATCCATTGAAGTTTGCTGAACGAAAAAACCTTTTGTAAAGGCCTTCCCAATCACCTTTCAAAGACGAAGTTAATTGAGGGCCAGATTGAGTCAGAGTATTTAAAAATTCTTCTGGGTTAAATGTTTGTGGAACAGGGGCTGCCTGAAAAATATGCATGTTTACACAGTTTTTTAATAATAGAATTAAGAATTGGAAATGGCATACTATTACTTACTTTGAAAGGTGATACATTTTTCTGCAACGGCATTAAAGATGCTATATATCGTTCCAAAGGAATCATGAAACTTTGAGTCAGTTCTAAAAGATGACGCCTTAATAATGCAGATTGTACTTCCATGGGCCTTTTAGATCTAACACCTGATATTAATTTCTTTATTATCACTTTATCCTTTTGCAAAAATGGCTTATATTCTGTATATAAGCCTGGCAATGAATCAAATTTAAGATTGCCCGTCTTCTTTAGTTTTTGCTTGTGCATTGGTGTATGACCTTCGCATAAGTTTATTGTATGCGGCCAATGGTGTAATGTCTTGGAAAAAAACGGATTTGTAACACCTAAAATGACTGAAGGGGGTCCTTGTTTGTTGTTCGTAAATTCTTTAAATTCGCTATCATGTATCGTGAAGTAAGGCCGGTGGTCTGCACAGTAACTAAGAGGAGCTATCATGCTATAGAAAATAATGCAATTCAATTTCTATAAATTTGTGAATATGCGATAATAATATTATGATTTCACCTTATCAATGCCTCAACCATATGTGAACAAAGAGTAGGGGATGAAGCCATTACAACTATTGGTTCTGTGGTGAGAACTAATTCCCAAAGTAGATGTGTATGAGCTATAATGTTACTTAAAATTTGGTATATATTAAGTTCATATATTGATGATAAAATTCGCACTTGTGCTGGATTGTTATCACGCATATCCGAGGCTTTAACTACAGCAGTTTTGTAACAATTTTGATTCGGTATATATGTCTATAAAGATTGATATAGTATAAATTAGTCTTTCAAAAAATAGTGCTATGTCATTAAATGCATAAAAAACTAAATAGGTAAATCAAAGGAAGAGATGATAATATATAATCAATTATATGCTTAAACTGCATTTTATGGTATACCTGAAAGACACTGCCTAATATAGGCAAATTAAAAATTTCTCCCGGGCATAAGTTAGGCCACTGACTGATATGATCACAAGCTACCTCAAGACTAATGACTCCATTATCAAAAAATTCAGGGGCAACTAATGAAGAAATCTCTAAGAATAGATTCACAAATGGCAGTCGAGTCAATAGAACTATGCTCTAGAAAAATAATAGTATTCTTTCTATTAATTCTTTATTCGAATCTGCACTGAAGTAATTTTGAGCAGCTTAAAACCTTTTGGAAATATCCTCGAGGTAGTGTAGCATCTTTAACTTGTCTAAAGTAAACAAATCCCCAAAAATATCCTGGATTTATTTGCAATGTAGGAAGAGTAGCACCATTATATTCTATTTGGTCTGCACTAAGTATTCCGTTTTGAACGGGGCCAGAGCTGCTTCTGAGTCTGATAATAAATTGTGTATCTCCCATACATCCGAATTGGAATCGGGAAAAGCTAAGTAGCATACATTTGATTTTTCCAATTCAGATAAAGTAATATGGGGAGGATAAATTGCCTATAAAGAAAACCAAATGTATCAAGAGGCTTCAATAGCAACAATACTCATTAGAAAATGTAATAACACCTCTAGCGCTTGACCCAATTCTAAGTCAAATGTCACAACACAAAAACAATGAACCCAGTTGGAAAAGCATTGCCATTTCGAATTATCTGCT